GCTGAGCATCGAGCTCAGTGGCGTAAAATTGGGAAGGCCTATGTCCAGCAGTGGACGACATCAGTAAAGCATGTAGGTACAGCCTATGTAATTCATCTTCAAAACAGCAATACTCTACTTTTTTAATTTGTATTAGATAAACCATGGAAGTTTCGAATTAATCACGTTCCAACAAGGTTCTCATTAGTTTGAAACACATTTATTATTCCAGGTTAGTTCAACAAAGTCTGCGTATTTTGGCTTTCCCAAAACGTTTCAATTCACTTAATTGTACGTACGGAACCATTAACCGAAACATCGAAGGGGAATTGTCACGTAAAAGATGCATACAGAAGTAACACTACTGGCTCGGGAAAGTGAATAAAAAATAGCACTAGTGCCTTCTAAAATCGGGATTCCTTACTAGAAAAATCGCTTGTGGACACTGAAAGATTTTGTAATGCATTTTCACCAAGAGCCCTCGACTGCCTGTGAACTACGATTCACGGTTCCGATTGTTAGATGGAGATAACGAGCAAACGTATTTACGAGTGGACTTTCTGCGCAGTAACATTTTATAGTATTATGCAATCGTCAGCAGTTAATGCCTGAAAGCAATTACTGTTTTGGGGGTTCTCCCGTTTTTAATTGTGAATAAAAAATGTACTGAACCTGATAGAATTTCATTCAACTTGCTAATTGATATGCGTAAGGTAAATACGGAAGGGAATTCTAAAGGAATTTTACCGAATGTTGCAGCATAGACTTATATAATTTAATATAAGATCAGTTACACAGTTATTGCAGTGATTACATTAGCAGACAGCCAATGACAGTCTAGTTTAAAATAAATGTTCTGAAATTAATCTACAGAGCCTAATTTACTTTGATGAACAGATAGCTGCAATTAATTTTGGCTCTTCAATCATTCTTCAAAGAACAATATTTCTAAAATCTACATTAAACCTTTTTACACCATTTTACTTTTAAGAGAAAACTTGATGTTAGTTACACAATATTCACTGTTTAGGGCTAGGGGGTAATATTGGTGAAAGACTGTAGGATTGCGTGATTCCGATATCTACGGAACATACAATTTGTCAGTTCAAGTGCAACGCTTACACTGCATGCCAAGGTCACAGCAAGGCACGTGTAACCAAATAATTGCCAGTTCCGAACGTCTAAGGATATTTTTAGAAAAGATAAAGAATGAAACATTGATCAAGTTTACGAAGTAAAGGTATTATTTTATGGTAAGTTGCGTGACATTATAAAATTGAAAAAGATTTATCTGGAACAGCTGGGAAACGAGAGATCAGTAGCTGTATGCTTGGGACACGACAACCGTTAAAAAGTTGTTAGGATAAAGATGAAAGGCAACAAGGTGAAAAACTACAAAACCCAGTTTCAGAAAGTCCAGGCGCTTCTATAACTACAAAGCTCATAACGAGGACTACGACTTCTGAATAAAGGTGGCGCAAAATGCATTGCAGGGAGAAAGGACTGTGTAGTTGGTGGGGCCACGGAGGTGTAAACACTCGTGCGTTTTGCAGCGGCAGCGTCATTATAAAGTCATTCAGGAATATTCTCTGGACCTTCAATTATATTCAGATTTCTCTTACAATAGTAGAATCACATTAGACTAGTTCACGTTTCAAAGAGACCCAGGTAATGAAAAGAAAACACGGAACGTATCGGAAATTGAAATGAACTAAATTTCTCTATCAAGTGTTTTCTCCACGTCCAAGGTTACCGACCGGCACGTGCGAATAATACATTACAGAACATTGCATTTACTTTTGAAGGATACATTGTACTCTCGATTGTACTAAAACTGTTTGTTAAAAAATATATTTCCTGATAAAACCGTTAAAATGTAAGGAGTTTTTATTTAAGAATTAATTTACTCACACTTGAGATAATTTCAGAGTTTCCACATGAACGAAGCGTGGTTCCGACTCACAAAATAAACGCCTGGAGGTAAGCATAAGTTATACTTAGGAATGCGCGTTAAAGTTGTTGAGAGCGAAGTTGTACAGAGAACATTCCTCAAACTTTAGTCTTTTGTTGGTAAAACATATGTCAGAATGCGTTCATGATGAAAGATTTTAAGCACAAGAGGCGCGGACACGGACCTTGTTCTGTTAATACAAACAGCCACAAACATGTTTTATACTTAAAACTTTTGCCCAACTCCGAACCGAACGCAAATAAAATAAATCAAACTTAACTAAGTTACCAGTGAAAAGCCGTAGGTATCAGCTGCCGAATAAAACTAGATAATTAAATTGAGCGTCAAACTCTGCCAGACACCACTTAAAAGCCTACGTTTTCGGATATATTCGGCCGAGAGACTGCCGAATATTAGAGGATTAAACGGCGAATATTCGGCCTCTCCGGGAAACTCATCTGATTTATTCATGGAGAAAATTGTCGAAACTACACATTGATATATTGCCTGTCCATTAGTAATCGTTCACTTGAGCTGTTTATTTTGAACGACGAATTAATATTAATATGCGCTATTTGAGCTGAATGCTGAGTAAATACAAATTTTGTTTTTGTTGGTAAATGAGGAGTGGGCGAGTAAAACAATAGTGTGTGATGAAATAATAATGTTGGATTTGTTTCACATTGACAAGCAGTGAAGTTAATTGTTGGTTCATAAAATGCAGCTGGATTTCGATGAGTAAATTCATTATTTGAAAATTCGAATTAGCGTTTTAATTTTAGTGACACAGATTGAAGTAAAAACTAGTTAGCATAAAGCAATTTTTGCTTCATTCGGCGAAGAGGCTACGTCTAAATTGGCAATAACCGCCATGCTCTATGAATTAAAGTGGCGCTGCGAGTGCATCCCCGGGGGCGTGCACGTCGCGAACCATTTCCAATTTTCCATCGTTATTATACCGGCAACTACTGCAATTGTTCCACTCCAATAACTTTTATATTTAAATACTCGATCACCGGCCGAGGGATTCTGTTCCAATAATAACAAGCTTTTAATTCAGCTTGTATATTTATCGGGAATATGTCCAATGTTATGGAAAATCGGAATTAAATTATAACGAAACAATAGCGGACAGTGCCAGACAGACACAGATGGTCATAAAAGAGGTGTGTAAAGATGGCTCACACTGTATGAGACAAGATGACGATTATTATAACACTTCTCTAAACCACTCAATGTCTTTGTACGTAATACATAAAGTGTTAAAAAAATAAATAAGATGACAAATTGATCAGATGAGGATAAGCTTGGAGATTTCAATATTATTAATTTGTCATGGATTAGTATTACTTTTTTTCTAACGATGTTTTTGTCAAACAAAATAACATGATAAGAATAAGAATCATTTATTTGTTAAACATAAGTATACATACATGGTATGCAAGATGTTAAATAAAATCATTATACTTAGCACAGTTATATTTCGCCTTATGATTCTTCATTTTTTCTTTTTTCTACACTACCGGTATATACCGTAAATGTCCCGATTATAGATACTTTGGGCAGATGTAATAACCTCGTGTTAATATGTAATGTATTATTGATATAGGAGAGTGTAAGCAATCGGAAGTGACGTCATTATGATTGATTCGGCGATACATTAGCCGCGTAATGTGCACACGTCCCGCGACATGACACGGCCTGTCGCGCGGGAGACAGTTCGACACAGTGGCGCCATCTCACAACCCGGCAGCCGTCTCCTCACAATACATTATGAATAAATATGTAATCTCCGTTTGTTATTCATGCTTATCTAATCTAGTAAACATGGATTGAATAAAACATAAGAGTGACGAGGTTTCACTAGCTTTGCAAACACATACAAATCATTTGACAATAATGTGAGAATCGATTTGATAGGTTCTAAAAACGAGTGTATTCTTTCATGGTCACAACAATGTGAGAATTTCCTCATGTTGTTTTGTAACTTTAATAAATAGTAAGCTCCTGTAATGTGGCTCGCTGCCTCCGCCTGAGTTACGGCTACAACCTACAGCTGAGTGCTTGCTCAATTTGTCTGCAAAACTTGCGGAAGAGGCCACGTGACGGACATACTGTACCTCCTATATAACCATCCATGTCGCAAATTAAGACAGTACATTCTTGCAGTAACAAACCCAAATATATCCTAGATCATTCTGTTGACGCCAATATTTATAAAGGTTATTGAAATGAACAAATGTTCAAGTTACTTCAAAGACAATAATAACAAAAAACCATTAATACTGGTAACAATGCCTAAATTCAGTGTTATGGGAGCACTAAGTTGCTAACAACGTGCTTATAACACAACACAATGAACCACACAACCAGAATCAAGTAACAATTAAAACGAATGTTTGTGATGTAAACCGCGACCGGGGCAAACACTGACTTCCAATTAAAGTTAACAATAGTTTTAATTTCTGTTCAAATCTAATGGACCCGCCTGGCGAACTTGTAACATTTGCGTGAGCGCGGTCGAGACGAAAGTTTACTTGGCACTGTTTTGTAAAGAACATTATTTTAAGCTAAATTTACGCTTCATTTTGTGGGAAAGTATAAAGGCTGCTAGTTTTCCTTCACAACGCGTTTTCAGATCCAAAACGTTTTTACTTTGCGAATTTAACAGCGCTAGTGCATAGTTTCAGTCGATTTAATTTTTCCACGTGCAAGTCCGACGTTCGAGTTTACAAAGGGCCCGTTAGCAAGACACATACGGGTTCTATCTGGACCAGATGAGCATGGAATTCCGTTCCGTATTCCGTCCGTTCCCGCAGATTTGAATAATGTCGGCTGATTGTCTCGCCCGGTTACCAGTATGCAGTTAATTTCGCTTCCAAAGCTCAATTTGGGGCTCGGAAACGAACAGTTTTGATAGTCAGCACACGTGGTGCTTTGTGGTCAGATTAGTACAGCGTCCGTGATAAAACACTGTCAGCTTACTTCATATCGACTTACTCTTAATCGTTTTGTTAGTTAGGGAGTGGTTTATTATATACGAATATCAAACCACAACTAAGGTACCTAGCTATATGATCAAGTCATCATACAAGTGAGCAGTGGGCGAGACTTGAGCCTCATTAGCGGCCGCACGAGCAGGCGTCCACCCCAGCACTCGACCCGCTTGCGGCTGACACTTGCAGCCATCTTGCAGCGATCGATTGTCTTCAGTCGCTGTGATTATAGCTGTGTTCGACACTGTCAGGGACATGAATCTACTTAATAATATGAACAAAAATAACAGCTATTACAGAACTAAATTGCAACATTAATGCAGGATGATTGATAAAATGAAAACCGTTTTTAGTGTTTACTTTCACCAAAATAACAATTAAAACGTATTTAGTATTTTCCCGCATCTCACCTTAATTTTGGACCTACCGTCTATACTGAAAGGTCAAAGGAAGATTGATTGTACGAATTACTCGTAAACATATGGTATGTAAAACTCAAATCACAGAAATTGTTGTTGTTGATCTAAATTTATGATTGCAGTATGAAATCGATATTTTAAGAAACTTTTTACTTTAAAGATTATTGCTGATAAGTTATTAGTGATGTATATATGTCGCCCAATAAAATTCAATTATATTCTCTATAGAATGACATTATAATGCAAGTAGCTACGTTTTCAAAATGTCAACTTTGTGTTTGCAAGTGTGCAATAAAAGTGTGAAAGTTTCAGAAACAAATATATCCGTTTGGACAATCCTTTATTTAGGAAACTTGGCGAAGCGTTTATTTTCATTTTCTTTTATTTTCATACAATATGTTTGGAGTGTTCCTCAATTGATGTTTTTGTTGAGAAATATTTCGAGGTCGGGTAACGGGAAAAGTTGTCTTTTGTCCGATTAAAATGGCAGTACTGATTGAAAAAAATATCGTAAATCTGTCTACGATAGTATGTATTAAATAACATTATTGTGTTAAAAGTGACCGGCATAGCTTCAATGAATGAATTATTTTATGACGAAAAACTGACATACAAAATCATTATAAACATCAGTGGTTTCTGATATTAACGTATAGCCAAACTGAGAAATCTTTACCTTAAAACTAACAATATTAAAATAATCATATTTAAAATTACATTGCAGGCTTGTTTTCACAAATGCAGTGCATAGTTCTATAGTTTCCGTAATACAATTAAGTGAAGGCATCATCTCAGCGTGTAGACGCGGCCGGCCGCTGGGGACTGCGGTTATTACATCCGACGAGCAAGGCCACGGTATACACTAGAATGCAATAGCACACAGCACATGCCTTTGTTTAGTAACCAACTGCACAAATACTATAGGGAATTCTTAGAGAGAATTAGACCAATCTTTCATTTGCCACGGATTATATTACTCTGCCGTATTTGTCTCCCTGTAAAACTGCTGAGAATTAATTAACTACTACATTTTGATTATTTAATAAAAACCCCGTCGTCGCGAAATCTCTTGGAAACGGGGATCCGAGATCGTCTCACACACAAATAAGGCACTCCAACAAGAATTCAAACTCGATCCAAACTAGAAAGGTAAACTATCACTGGTGTAAGTGTCAAGCAGTTCCTACACAGAGTTACAAAAGCAAATCTTCAAAAATTTAATTTATACTTTTCACAAGACAAACTTCTTGTTCAAGGAAATATTAATCAAATCTGTTCCGAGAACATGTAACTTTACCTTTAAGAAATTATATGCAAACACTTCTTAACTGGGATTTACAATTACCGAAAAAAGTTTAGCAAATATTTTTTTATATAATGAGGTCAATAAATACAGATTAAATTATATTTAAGCTATATACTCGTATTTAGACCCTTGGGTCTGTGACAACATCTTAATATTACGCGACTACATACGGACCTTGGGCCTTGGTGCTTAAGAGGCTCGGTAAATACCCTTGAGATTTGTGGACGACCGACGACTTAAATAATTTACTGAGCAATTAATACAGATTTGGTAGTCACATTTCTGGGATGAGGAACCATTCGGCTATAAATAAACATTCGAATACTTATATATATATAATATAATATAATTATATAATATAATATAATTTTGCATGCCTACTGGTAAAATGTGGCTGAACCTACCTGTTTTTACTCTATCACCATGTATTGTACCCATATTTGCAAAATAAATGACTTACTTACTTAATACGGTACTCTCCAATTAGTCAAATTCAATACTTTTATTCAAATGTCAAAAACAATACTTCTCTATGAAATTTGTATGAAAAACTGAGTTATGACGTCATAGTATTTTTGTGTCAAATAGCGTACTCATATCTTAAAAATTAGCTAAAAAATATCTCAAATTTAGTGTATCGATCAATGAATATAAGTATACTTATTTTTCAATATTTTATTGTATAAAACGTCGAATTAATTTATTGTTGACCTGGGAAACTACCCAATTCTGAAGATAGCTTTCAGTGCATCGATTTTAAGTTAATAGATTTGTTTGTTTAAATTCCTTCATAGACCACCATATTGTATTGTGTGTGACTAGGAAAGCGATCCGATAAGATGTAACATCGTAATCTAGCTCCTAGTATCCTAACAGAGACGTAAATAGTTAACAATAACAAATTAGATAGTTGCCCTTGTAGCGTAAACACAGCGACTCATGAATAATTCAGTGACTGAAGAAGAATGATTCGCGGCGCTTATCAACAAATGCCGTTGTTTATGTACATACGTCCCTGATGTATGCCGATGATAGGTCTGGAGCCTATTATATTCGATTGAGCGCTAATGTGAGAGGCTTATGTTTAAGAGAGTAATTTGCCGTTATAATCTTACGTTACTCTCAATTGAGTTTCAAATTTCAAGATGCTTAATAAATTCAATTTTAATGCTTAATAAATTTTAATTGAATACAGATTTATTATTAATAATTTGAAGAAACTTGGTGTGTTTTATAGTAAGAAATTCAAGTAAAAAGTGCAATAAGGTCGTGGAGTAAATACTGGAGTAATATAGGGAGGGATACAAAGAGGCGAGTATCTGGTGTTTGCAGCGCGCAGCCAATTCAAAGGTATCATCGTTTCCACATCAATGGAGCCTTCTTCCTCGCGCAGCCGATCCAAGACTTACTGGATCTCGTTTAACTTGCTATTGGATTCTATTGTTAGTTTTTATCGCATTATTGCTTTAAAATAAGTTATTAAGTACTTAATGAAAAAAAATTGAGCTATAAAACCTATTATGTAGAATACTTACATTTGGTATCTTATAAACAATAAAGGATCTCTGCACGTGTCATATTACCATATATTAAAGATTAACCAGATTCTCCAAATATCTGTCCCAATAATCAGACTATCAAATAAGGAGCCAAGTAGTGGATGTTAGTCGTGAAAATATTTTTATCACCACTTTATCCTTAGTCTAATCTGCAATATACCTTAATGGACCTTAGATAAGTAATAAAAAACGAAACGAAATAAACTGTTTTGCACATAGTATTGAGCCATAGCAAACTGTCACTCACTTGTAAATAAAACAGAAAGCTTACCGACTGTGTTCATGATGTTACATAATGGGGAAACACTTACCTGAAACAAAAAAATAATAATTATTAATACTACAAGACAGCCCCTAGACAACAAGTAATCTTAATTCAGGAACAAACCTTATAATTACCATACCAAAAACAAGTGTAACAAACGCGTATAAACAGACACAACTACCCACATGTAATATTCACACGCAGACAAAAATACTACGCTTATGTACGAACACAGTCGTTTGGTTAAGCAAATAAACCGGTTGCATCATTGTTATTCACAGGGCGGGCGGCCGCCCAGCCGGCCACTATTCAAAACAAGTTAGCGCTACACGTCGCACCCCAAAGGGAGATAATCTTATAACAACTTTTAAAAAGATACAAAATAAGCTTTTATACTCGTAATTACTGAAGGTGTAACTAAAGCAACAGAGAAAAACGAATTTTATGGCAAAAACGTAACAATATTAACATAATTGGGCAAACTGTTGTCATAGAACACATCAAGAAAATAAATCCCCATTTCCCTAATTCGTGGCATCCCGCGTAAACAGTTCGACCGATTCCGATAGGAATCTTTTGTGTTTGTTTATATAAAATAATTGAAATAGCAGCTCTCTTAAAAAAATAATGACTGGCACTAAATGATTTGACATTATTATTCCTATTATTATGGATCTGACATTTTGAGCAAATATTTTGATGATTGACATTTTAAATTTATTCAGTATCAATCTAATTATGCGTAGTATCCATCAATTTGTGAAAATAATAATATTTGCATGCCCATGTGACAGTAGAATGTGGAGGGACCTAATCTAATTATAAGAAAACATCAATGTTATCAATCACCCATTTTTGCAAAGAAATAAATGATAAAGTTACTGAGACACCCGTGCTAATCAGAAGCGGGCCGCTATTCAGCAGTCAGTTTGTTTAGGTAATTAGCTAATGGTAAACGATCTTGAGTTCTTTTATTCAGTTTATTACCTATAGATTTAGGTAAACACCTAATAGTAAACATTTTTAGACAACTTTTCGATAAAAAGACCAAGCCCAGACTGCTTACATTTTAGTTAATTACCTAAACAAATTGTCCATAGTATTAAATAAGAAAACGTTGGCATGTGTTTTTATGTACATAAGCCTTGTATGTATTGTCACAGAGCTCTCACTTTACACTGCTCTTAAAGCCCGAAATGTGCAGTAGTACCGTACCGCGACCTATCCGTGGAGTATTTGATGTAATCTACTTTTTCATTCCAGACAACATAATGCACTTAAAGCGATCCGATGTCCATTTTGAAGTAGGGAATCATGTTTCAATGCCACATTATTCTGAATTTTCTATTCATTTATGGTTTTAAATGCAGGCCCAAATAATTAGAATACTTACTTATAATATATTAATTTGACACAAAGAAAAATAATTTATTTTTACACTTATTTTCAATCAAACAAAATTTCAATTTTATCTGTCTTTCACACATTCGTGTCACGTAAGTTTTGCTGTCTTCTGTTACATTTGGGAATTGTAATTCAAATCAACCAAAGTGCTTGGGACCTTGTAGAATCAAATAGAAAATTCCGGAGCCCCCTGAGCCCCGTTGGTGAACGAGACCCGGGTCCTGAACGAGATATTGCAATGAAATGCAACGCAATCATACGAGACGAGTCCGAAACTAATATATTTGATGGCGCCCACCGTGGTACCG